TTAGGTTGATTACTCCTGGAATAAATTCTTTTAAACCTAATGTCTAACCCTGTTATCATGCTTGTATCAGGTGAAAGACTATGCACACATAACAATTGTCCAAAGGAAACTAACTACCTGTGATTCTTCCTTCTCAAAGGGAAAAGAAAGATACAAACATGTATAGTCTGTATACTGGTTCATTTGATCTCCCCAAAGGTACTGAGTAAATTAACATCCAAGTACGTGTTCCCAGCTTTTCTTGGGCTTTACCTCTATCTTAGTAGTGCTAAGCAAGAGCTGCACAGATGAAAGTACACTCTGTGAATAAAAGAGCTTATACTCTAAATACTTAATCCAAAATAATGTGAAAGGATAATGTCATAAATGATATTTTATTTTCAGCATTATGAGCAACAGAAAATGGTGCATCTATGTGATTAAATTACTAGTCTAACTTGAAAAAAAAAAACCAACACAAACAGACTCTAGAACTAGGAAGGGTAAGGCAAAAAAGCAAGTACCTGACTATAAGAGCATGAGAAAAATTCTGTAAGTCAATCTTTTCTGTCAGATGCAATGGTACAGTGACTGTCAATGAGGTAATGGCACTCCGTGAGACTTCAGAAAAGGGAGCTTCAAGAGATGTCAAATTCCCATGTTTGAAGGGAAACACAGAATTATGAGATACTCTCACAATGTAGAACATAAAATTCTCAGTGCAGAATGAAATCTTAGGAAAAGTTCTTTGATTCTTTTCCCTTCTGGAAACATATTAAAGGCTAAGAGAAAGAATCCTTGCGTTTTCTCTTGATCTGGGCTTCAGCTGCTCCTGTGCGGTGTCAAGTACACGTTTTGATCTGTGATCACTTTATTTGCCCCCATGCTAGGTGTTAATGGCACCTGTTGCTCTAAGCCTCTCTAAATTTTCAGACAAACATGAAACATCAGAACTGTACCCACCCACAACTAATGTCTCATCACCCTCAGCTGTAATAAAACACTCTTGGTCAGAAAAAAATCTCTAAGTGGATTACAGTCCTTCAGACAAGAAAGGCAGGGAAAACATTTCAGTAGTAAATGGCAAACTGTTATGTGAGCAGAGGTTAAATTTCAATTTCAACTTTTTCCCCAGCTGCTGAGTCTGAGTGTCAAAAGACATGAAAGTGAATTAGAAGGATGGTGTGAAGAAAATACTTTAATTTTTAGCAGCTGCACTGGCTTACAGTGAATTAATAAACACCTGCAGAAAAGCTTGAGATAAGCATTTAAGGTAGAAAGTTATGTATAGCAACCATGCAAGGAAAACTGATACAGTTTTCAAAGGCCAGTTAAACTAGATACAACTTTGCCCTAAGCAATACTTTGTCCCACCCAATACATTCTACCCAGGCCAGAGAAGCTGAGATTTACATTCCCTGGCCCATGACAGTGCATAGTAATCTGAGTTCAACCTATTAGGAGCTCTCTGGTTATTTATCCTGTTCAGCTTCTAGTTACTTCACAAAAAATCTTTTTTCCCACTTGAATCCTGACCAAAAGAAAGAGTAAGTTAATTTTTATATTAAAGAGAAAACTGAAAACCTAACTTCCAGGTGATGACACTGCTTGGATGCCACCCTCCCCTGTGCAACTGCAGCACATTTTGTGAAGCAGATTTGTGTGTTACAAAGGTCCCAAATTTTTTTTGCAACAATTTTTATGCTATTATCTCTGCTTTGCCATTACTGAACCATAAGCCTTTCGTGTCGTCTGCGACACAGCTCTATTGATTTTTAACATCATTTTAATGGGAAGAGCACACAACTCTGTCTTTAAAAAAATGAACATTCCCTCAGTCTCTGAAATACTGAGCATATGTAGTTCCTTGAATCACCCCATATCTTGAACTCTTCTGTACCCACATCACCACAGTGATCACCACCTTTATGTCCACTACAAGGAGTTCTTCAAGATCCAGATGGAGATGGCTGTCATTTCTGAAAAAAAAAACCAAAACCAACCTAATTTGTTCAGAATTAAAGATAAAAACAGAATCCTCTTCTGGAGTAAGTGAGTAATCAAGTAGAAAGCCTCCTCCTGTGGTAAGCCATTTTATGCCTTACTTTTCATACAGTTGTGGCTGGCATGTTTGCCAAAAACAGAGGGTTCGCTAAAATGTCTAGGCCCTCTTTAAACTCTGCTCGCACTTTCCAGCAGAATGCCCTCAAAACTGAATGGTTAAAATATCTAGGAGATGAGCAACACCTACCTCTCCTTTTGCAATTACTTCACAGGAATGGAAAAATGATTCTTTGGAAGGAGAGAAGCAAGCTTGAGCTGTTTCTGTGCTTGAGTGGGTAGGACACCCACCCAGAACACGGTTCTGTCTCTGTACATGTACTCTTTCATTGCTAATGGTCTGATGAGATCTAGGTTTAACTGAGTATCTTCATTCTTACAGCGGCAGAGTACGATTTATCACTACCAAACAGGCTTAATTTAACAGCTACAGATAGAAACATTACAGAAAGATCTCCTGCTATGTATACTTCTTTAGATGCTGAAAGCTTGCTCCCAAATTATTTCGATATAAAGAGCACTTAAGAAATTATTAAATTGTATAGAATAGTGTGTATGCTGTACTGACATAATCATAAAACCTGTTTCATGGACATAATCTAATAAAAAAGATCTGATAATTCACTGTAGTTGGTGAAATTCTGGATGATATAGCTCATTGAGTCATGTACCTTTAGGTAACCGATTCAGAGTCAGTGAAAATCAATAGTAACTGAATCTTCACGCCAATTTACTCCAGCTCAGTTGAATAAATGAATGGAAATGAAGTAATCCCTTGGATGAAATTCGTATTTGACAAATGTCTATATTCCAAAAGCACTTACTACTGGCAAACTTAAATATGTTAGGAGAGAAGCTATGAATATGGAGAGTATTTAAGTAAAAGAAGAAATACTTTCTCAGAGTTTGTCTTAAGAGTTGCAACTGGACAGAATTCATTCAGTGCATCTATAAAAGGAAAGCAGAGCAGATAATGTGTGAGTTTCTGGAAGAAGTCACATGGTTTGACCATGCCAGATGCATGGTTCCTGAAAGACTGCAAAATGAAGCATGCCACGAGCACAAGAGAACAGCCAGGCAGGTCACATGCTGGCACCAAGAGCTTGTCAAACCCTGGCTCTGCCTCTAGCAGTCCACACACCATGGTGGCTGTGTCTCACATGGACTCATTTGCACAGGGTCAGCAGGTCAGGCAAAGCAAGCAAGCAAATGTAATGGCAGTGCCACAGGCCACGTGCAAACAAAAAATTAAAGCAAGGCAGCAACACGTGCTTTCATATCACAAGGCAAACTATGGTTTCAAAGGAAGAGGGGACAGGAATTGCTGTGACTCAGTGTGAGCTGTATCCTGCCAACACCAGGCCCCTGATGGCAAAAGCAGCTCCCTACACGTGGGTAACACATGCTGCTCTGTGGCAGGCGGCACATACATGCAGGAAAGGCTGTGGCCACCTCCCTTCCTTACCAAGTCAGGACTGTAATCTACGTCTACACAGACTGGCAAGTTCTCTGCAGGGGTCTGAACCCTGCAATGTAGGTTCAGGAGTCAGTGGGGAGCTGCCTTTGGGGACTGTGATTCCCTTGGAGAAATTGTTTTCCAGAAATCTAAGTATCAAACTTCTTGCTTTCTCATTGACATTTCGAGGTCTCCTCTCACAGGCAATTATTTACTTGGTACAAAATGGTACAACGTCTCAGAAAGCTGCCATGCTTTGCTCCGCTATCCTTAGCTGTTTTTAAACTCCAGAGATTGTTCCTTTAGGTCCACTTCCGCTTCTCTAATGCACATTTATGGAGTTTTATCAGATATAAAGAACATCCATCAACCTTGGTGACCAGTACATAAGAAGAAGTGCTACTCTGAAGCTGCTGAAAAACACAAATATGAGACAGATTTGTCCTATATACTTCTCAACTAGAACATACTGCTTTTATGACTGACCAATGGTAGCTAATTATTAGACTCTTTGCTGGACAATCAAACACAGAAAATTTAGTAAAGGCTGCCCAGATCAAAATGTCTGACTAGACACTCAATTTGGAAAAAAACCTCCCACACTTAGGAGCTCAGCAACATGAATCATGGTTAAAGTCTAGTCTTTTTCCTCCTGTCCAGAATGCACCAGTGTCCAGGAAAGGATCCCAAGAACTTAAATACCGTTTTGTAGCCATTTTCCTATGAAAGAGAAAAGTAAATAAAAACAATGTTTAGTTGTATTACGAGTCAAACGAAAGTACACAGAGATTCCCCTGGCCAAACTCTAGGCAAAAAAAGCAAAGTCTCTCCCAGCCAAGTTCCTGCAGAGGGAAGTTGTTGAAAGAGCCAGGAGACCCTTTCAAATGGAAAGTCTTTGGGCAGTGTACAGCTGGCTATCCTTCTTTAGGGTAGAGAGCAAGGGGCATGGATGACATTGCTCTGCTTCTCTCCTGTTCTCTGGCTGGTGGAGTGACTGCTAAAAGCAATCTGTAGCTGGGGATCCCACCAAAGCAGCCCTCAGGCTGCTCTGGCTTATCACAGGTTTGAACCTGTCTTTGAGATGCTTGGCCAGCAGCTGTGCCCAGCACAGCTCAGATCCAGATGTTTCTGCTGCCAGCTGCATTTCCAAATATCCACTGCAAATGCTACAATGTTAATTCCAAGGACTTAGAAATACCTACATCATGACTGACATGTCATGGTCTCTCTCTTAACCACAAGCTCTTTTCCTCTGACCTCTGGCCAGACTACTTCAGATTCTCACAGACTGGAATATTGCACCTCAAAGGAATGCATATATTTTTAAGGACTATGTGTTCAGGGGCATTTCAGACTAAGTGCTGTGCCACCTGCAATGAGAAAGCTATGGGAAGCTCTCCAGGAGGAGACCTCTCCCATGAAGTGCCATCTGGGCTTGAGCTGTGTGCAGCCACTGCCTGGACTGGTGAAACCACCTGGTCCCAGTGTGCCTTGGCCACTGCCTTGCCTGACATGACTCCACACCTGAACCAGTCAAATTAAACTTGGTCACCTAACACCATTTCTGTGGGGCTTTGTACCACTGCTTCACGGTTCCCTTCTGGCTTTTTGTCATGGGTAGTGGCAGTTTTTGGTTTCTATGGTTTATCAACGGTTTCCCTTACTAACAGATCTATTCCTCTGACTGAAAGTTTGGCACAGCTGGAAACTAGAAGCAAAACCACAAGTGAATGGCCTGGCACTTACCACCCATCTCCAACCACAAACCCATACAGTTACTGGATTTGACTAACGGCTATCAATCACCCCAACTGCAGACAAACAGATATCAACTAGAAAAGGCCTGAGGGAAAACATCAGCTAAAAACCAAGTCGGTATGTTACTTTTAATGAGGTGATGCTGTCTTGGAAACACAGTTATTTCTTACTTGATACTTAACTCGATAATTATGGCATTATTCTGACTGTTTGCCCTTCTCTCTATTAAAGTGTGTTTATCCTTTGCCTAAAGCCAACTCAAGCTCTGCCTTGGAGGTCAGGTTAAACAGAAAACAATCCTCATTATCCAAAAAACTGGAATAATATGAACAAGTGCAGTCTTCTGCTTCCTTTTATGTTAAGTTTCCTTAAGTGTGAAGCAGAATGTCATTGTTATTCCATCAGATCACTAAGGTCACTAAGTTAAACTGTGGCTTGTGTCCATTAGACTTTAAAAATATTTGAAAAAAAGTTTTGTAATAGGCTGGCCACTTATCTGGGGAGGAAGAAAAAAATCCCATTTTAGTAGGTCTAGTTTGGAAAAATGATCAGCTTCCCACACACCCCTACACATATGAATGGCAGACGAATAAAAGATGAAAAATGGAAAGCACAGAATTTTGAATGCTGACAAGATCTTCCTAAGGAACAAACCTTGTCCCAGTACAGTTGGTCTGGATTGTGGTGAACTTTTACAGCACTTGCAACTTAAATCATTCTTGTAACAAAACAAGATAATTTCCAAAAATGGCAGAAACAAACTCAAGCCAGAATCATACAGTACTTTGGTTCAAAGGTTGCAAATTAAGCTGTGTAGCTTTTACAGTTCTAAGCTGCAACATGCACCATTGCTTGTTAGAACAAAAGACAAAACAGAAAAAAAGAAAGTTGTTATTTTAGTTCTTTCTGCTACCAAGATCTAACTGTAAGCAAGCACACAAGTGAATGATTACACTTTGGAGCTCTTGGTCCACTAGATATGTTGGTTTAAGGTTCACTGGAAAACACCAGATAATGTGATTGCAAAGTCTGTGTTTAAATTGCTGCATGATAAAGAGAAAAGTTCTCTCTTAAACCACATTTAAAATGTTTGGCAGTTTATATGGAAAACCTAACTTATAAGCAGCATTCATAGCTGTACTCAATTGCTTTTTGCCATGTCTCTACTGTCTTGGTTTTATTATACCTTCCCTCCCAACATCCAGTTATACATCCTATTTTTCCTTTTGTTAACAGATTCCTCTGCTGTTCTCTCTTCTTTCCAACCTAAAGAAGATTGAAGATATATTACAGATCTTTTCTCTGCTTTTGAAAGACATTTCAAAAATGTCTCGAAAATAAGAGAACACAGCATGAGAAGGAAAAGTCAAGCTAAGAACTGAAAAAAAGTAAAAATTTTCCATATGGAGGAATACAGGATCTAGTAGGCAGAGCCAAATATTCCTACTGCTGCATAGCTATTGTGCCCACTTAAAACAGTGAAGACTAAAGGATCAGATATGCTGAAGCACAGAGAAATACCTGACAAGGAATTAAGCTGCATCTGAAATTATACTGTGTCATAGAAATATGCCTCACAATTTGTTGCATGGCAATATTCATATTTTTAGAGGCTCTTTATTATCTTCAGAGCCTATTTTCAGACTGTGTTCATGACACTGTTCTTGTATGTGCAGAAAGATAATATAAAACTGAAGTCTTCACTACTATCAATCAGAGTAGTCTTTCTCACGGTCAGTACGTCCAGGATTTCATCTGCAATATCCACATACACAGGAAGATATTAAAATACCAGTCTGTTGACAATTCACTATGGTGTGCAAAGAAAGATGATTTTAAAAAGACAAGGAATATAATTCTTCCCTATAGAGATCAGGCTAAGTTTATCAACTGATTTTGGTTTGAGACAGTTCTGTTTATGCTGGTTTATATGAATTTGTAGTCTCTGTCCTGCTCCCATCCAAACCCAGTATCTGCAGGATCACTGATGCACTTGGGCTGTGGCAGGAATACATCCTACACTTAGAAAAACAAGCTCTATATTCAACTGCAGAGTATTTTGCTGATAATATTTCAGTACATGATGCTTTACTGTTGATTACAGGCTTTAAACAAATGTTTCTTCTTTCCCAGTGGTTTGGCTAATTGAATAATATTAATGGAAATCAAAATTTAAGTAATGACATACTGTTACTTAATTTGAAGTGAGGGTCATTTAGCATACATAAACAACTCCCTCGCTGGGTATGCAAAGTTAGATTGATTATTCCTCAAGACCATTTAACAGCAAACCAACTCATCATAAGGAATGACTAATCCAGGAGTAGAGGACATAGTACTTTGAATTTTCCAAGCAATTCTCTGCAACAGCAGCATTTCTGTGAACAATATCCCCCAAAGCCCACTGTCCTCTTTACTTCGATCTCCAGATGAAGAACACACTTAGGCCATTGAGAACCTGCGGTTGAACACACGTTGCCAGATGCATGCCTCTCTCTTTTTTTTCTTTCTTGAAGTGCTTAAAAGTACCTGCGAGAGATTAGCACCTACAGAACAGCTAATTCAGACCAAATGAACACATGATGAAACTGATGCTAGTTAGGACAGACTCAAGGAAGAACTGGATGGCAGATCTCCTGCGAGAAAAAAGCCGCCTGTCCCATTCGCAGCACCAGGGAACTGCAGGCTCTGTTACAAGTTATCACTTTGTTGCCTCTGGTAACAACCGGGAGTCTCACATCTCTCTCCGGATAAGGACATGCATACAGTAGCTCACAGACTGATGGCCTGACTCCCTTTGTAGCTACCTTTTTGTCCGTGTGCTTGTGTGTGTGGTATTTTAGCAGACAGGTAACAATAATCTTCCGGAGTGGCTTAAATTCAGGCAAATTTAACTTAAACACACTCTTTTGCTTGCATTATGCAGCCTCATGAAACCCGGAATAGAGTCTGTGAATTCCACCCTCAGCCTCAACTCTCAGCTGACAATTCTTCATAGCTCCCACATATACTGCAACCCTTATTTTGAACAGAAGTCTCACAGTCCTGGTTTTATGTCACAGATGAGACAGCTGAAAGCTTGTACAGCATCACTGAAAGAAGTGAAGGGCATGGAAGCTGTGGACACCACTACACAACACCCTCTCCTGCCTTGCCAGTTTGCAGCACTCTTACAGCCATTGCTTCAAGTGCTGTACTGTGCACATTAACAGAGAATATGCCACTCTTTGTGCCACCCTGTCACACTGAATTGTTTCTGAAGAGGTTACAATCCCCTTTGAAGTCAGAGTTAATTTCAACAATCATTTCAGTGAAGCCAACACACGATCCCACTAAGAAGTTAGTCTTCACTCAATGTCAGAAGTTCTCTGCATCAGGTTTTGGAGACAGCTTAAAAAAAGGTCTTCCTGCTACACTTGGCTATTTCTTTCTGCAACCACTTGACCATATTCATCCCACAAAGCAGTAACTGAAACTTCAGCTGCAGCGCTGACTCTGCTGCTCTTCCTTTGCTCACGAAGTTGGGAAGAGGTACAAGTGAGCAGCACTTTCTGAGTGGGTCCCCCTCCTCAGAATCACAGGAACCTTGGGGTTGGAGGAGACCTTGAAGATCACCCAGTCCAACCACTGGCCCAGCACCACCATAATCACTCCTGAGTCACAGCCCCAAGTGCCACATCCATCTTTGAACACTTCCAGAGACAGTGACTCCACTATCTCCCTGGACAAGTTATTCCAATGTCTGACCACTCTTGGACTGAGAGGTTTTTTTCTAATACCTAATATGAACCTTCCTTGGCTCAGCCTACAGCCACTTCCTCTCGCTCTTTCATTTGAGACATGGGAGAAGAGACCAGCCCCCACCTCCCACAGCCTCTTTTCAGGCAGTTGTAGAGAGCAGTGAGCAGTGAGGTCCCCCCTGAGTCTCCTTTTCTCCACAACAACACCAGTTCCCTCAGATACTTCTCATGGGACATGTTTTTAGACTCTTCACCAGCTCCATTTCCCTTCTCTGGACACCCTCCAGCACCTCAATGTCCTTTCTGAAGTGAGGGACCTGGAATGGAACACAGCATTCAAGGTGTGACCTCACCAGTGCTGACTATAGAAGAACAATCACTTCCCCAGTCCTGCTGGCCACACTACTCTTAGGATCTCCTTCCACAGACTCATTCTACCACCTGGTTCTGTAGCTGACACGGGAAAGTACATATAACAGATCTGATGACTGCACTTCAAACGATACTAATAACTTATGGCTTGTTTGAAAAGGGGAATAAAGATTTACTATATTTTAGTGTTTTAGATGATTTACAATTACTCAATACCCTAAGACACTGTAGCTAAAAATGAATATGTCTGCTGCTGTTTTTAAAAACCTGATGTTTTATGATTCCAGGCAGACTGCAGGTCCAAAATCCAGCATTCACATAACCATAGTTTCGATATTATCACAACTGTATACATTATCTAGAACAACGAAGTCCCAAGCTCACATTTTTTCTACACACAATGATGTAACTCCTCTAATTGGACAAATTTATACCACTGAAAGACTGTCTCACATATATTAGCAGTTGACAGAGTAGGCTGAAAAATGAGACAACTGCTAAAAACATGATTTAATATTTAAAAATGAATAAATAATAACCTCATACTATTTGTGCCAATGTTGTGGCTTATGAATTTCTGGGACTGATGATTTTACCAACAGCAGGCTGATTAAAACACCATGGAGCTGGTGCATGAACAGTCTCAGTAAGAAACCCATGTGAATGGAATTAATTTCCCTCCTGGATAGATGAAGCTTGTTGCACTGAGATAATACTGTTTTAGTTTGGGGAGGTGGAAAAGCATTTTGGGAGAGGACTGTTTTTCCAGTTTTGGGTTTGAATTGGTGCCAGTAAACATGCAATCACAACATTGGCCACCCTCTAACATATGCCTTCTTCAGCCTGACTGGGCTCTGAATATAACAGAGGCTACAAAAGCTAATATTCTCTTCTGATGACTTTTAGCTCTGTATTAACTACAAAGGGAAACATTTTAAAATATTAATAGTAATAGTAATATTAATAATGATGTTTAATATTATAGTTAAATGTGCCTGGCTGTTATTGTTACATGGATAGCCTGACTCCTGAGTCCCACATGCACACCTACCAATCTCCTTGTCTGTGCAGCATTGAAATCATACAGGAGCATGGTTTTGAAAACTGGACAGGTATAGATGCATCAAGAATGAAGCACCAAACATTCTGATTCTTTTTCTCAAGACTGACTACTCGGAAGAGAATCCAAAATTGGTGATCCAAGTTTTCCTTTATAGAGCATTTCACACAGATCTGAACCTGGGATTCTACTGTTTTTCCCCCTTTCACCCTCATTTACCTGGATTAAATATTACCTAATTGAAGCAAGACATTCTCTTCTTCCCTAAAACACTGGTCATGGCTTCCTGCTTAGGAGCCGCCACACTCCTTGAGCCAGCTGGAAGAGTTTTATGTATCCATACAGAAGTGGACACTATTCCCATTTTTACCTTTCTCTTTACTGAGTGTTCACCAAGTGGAAGGTACAAAGCCCTTTCCTACTGGCCCAGAAAACGCTCAGCCTCGAAGTGTAATCTTTGTATAAGTAATTAAAATCTTTATCTAAACATTAAAAAAAAGCCAAATGATGTCCCCATTTTCTCAGGCCCCTGTCAGTCCTGTCAGCTGTATCTCTGAAGGACTCTCTGATATGGTAGCAAGCCATAGCATAGCTTGTAATTTCCCCTACTGGTTTTTACTATCCATGCATCACAGCTTTTAAATCACAAAGAAAGCAAAGAAAATACGTTTACTCTTTCGTTACATAATGTCACTCCATTCAAATGGCTAGAAGTCACTGCAAACTGCTTAACTAAACAGGAAATTTAAAAACTGGAGCTGTCATACAAGGAATTTTTGAAGTAATGCTTTATTTTGGGGATGCTGTCATCAGCAGTGCACATGGGCAGAAAAGACACACAAAGCAGAATAGTTTCTGGGTACATAACATGTATACCTGAGTATTGAACAGTTTATTGCTGATCTGTAAATAGAATAGGATCCTTGGGAATCTAACTGAGGGATTTTAGGATACAAACTCTATGTGTTCATCTCTGCAGAGGCTTATAAATCTGTACCAAAATTAAAATGTGCAGTTTTAAAATAGCTATGACTTTATATGAACCTCAGACTGCGGGAGGAAAAGAGCTGAAAAGTGTCATTTGTTTAGCTGAATTAGCCAAGATGAGACAAATGTTCAGATTTACTCTAGGTGTGTCTTGACAGAGGTTTTTGGGTTTTTTTGTGTCCAAGTCCTTTATACACCTCTGTGTATTTCAGATCTACTTCTTAAATAAATACTTAGCTTGCATTTGTCTTAGATTCTGGTATGTTTTGTGATGCTGTATACAGCATGCTGTATACAGCATCACAAAAACATAAATCACAAAAAATATAAATTTTTTAAATAATTTTAAATTTTCATAAAAATTAAACCATATAAATATAACCATATTTATATGGTTTCATAATAAACCATATAATGGTTTATTATGAAACCCATTGCAGTAAAGTCCCTGGATATAAAAATGCCCACAGAAGTCTCAGTATGTTCCTTAAAAAAAGTCGAAGACCTTTAAGATCTTTAAAAGAGAAAGCAAAAGAGAGTAGGAAGGCAAAAAGTACCCAGTAGGACAGCAAAACGAAAAGGTTGTTTTAATATCAAAGCCACATCTATCATGCAAAGTTTTAGCTGCATTCTCATACTCTTATCCTACCAACACCAGTGGAAATACAGATTGGTGATTACCCAAGGGCACTTCCATTTCCCAGCAAAACTGCTATTCAATCTTCTGGATATACTCCACTTTTTGGAGTTTGCAAAATTTTACATTTTACTGCTACCAAGGTCACAATAACATGGGCTTTCTTTTGCAATCCATCAGAGGAATCTGAAAGACAATGCAGATCATGCAGAGAGTATTGCACTGTTAACCCACGAAGCCACCATTCAGGGCTGTTTGCTATGGCTTTATGGCAAAGAACCTTGAGAATGGTCTTTCAAATCATTGCTTGTACACTGAAGCATGTAGAAGCAATACTATTTGTGATGAAAGAACATAGTACATACAGACTTGGCAGATTCCTGACCTCTACAGTTTTTAACAGTCTCCCAAATGTAAGACTAGGAATGTCACACTGACCCTACATCTGGCAAGAAAAACAGAAGTTCTGGTTTTATCAAACTCCAGTTCAAATTAGATTCATTTCCATAAGAAAAAAAATACTGATTTTTTAGTATTAATGTAATATTTGCATTTATATATAAGCAGAAAATTTAATTTACTGCATGGCTTTGGAGATTCCAAAAAGCTCATACACCATTACAAGAAAAAATAAAATTAAATTGGTGGAGTTTGCATATGGCAGTATTTCTTATCTGTCAAAATACTTCAAGTTAAATGAGACGGAAAAAAAGTTTTGAGCATGTTCTGCGTTCATTTTTGGGACTGTATCACTCTTACTGCAAATGCGAAAATGAAGCTTTTGACTCTGCTATTTGAATCAAAAAATATCAGCAGCTTAATACTATTGTGAGTATGTTGGTATAGAGCTAAGATTGATTCTTTAAAAGTCTGCGATGGAGAGTTTAAGTGATATTCCTAAAATCCTCATTCTTTTTTTTCTCTCATTTTCTGACTTCATTTCTGAGTCAGAGACAGAGAGGGTGGAGGATAACTCTACCCTGGCCATTTGACCAGGCAAAAAGCCCAAGAAAGATGATTTTTCCATAAAACATTAACAAGTAGTAAAATCCCAAAGTTATTTTGCAAGACTTCAATTAGTATTTGAACTTATTGTATAAATTACAACGTTGTTTCTCAAGGCCCTAATAGCATTGCATCTCCTTGTAAATTCTACTAATTTTGGGTTTTAGGCAACCCAGTACATATTTTTCTTTCACGCTTTATTTCTGTATATCCTTTGGCTACACAATAGGTGTTAAAAAATGCTATACAGTTTCCACACGGAGATCACTCAGGTGATGAAAACATGCACTTTTTGCCCTTAACCAAATGCAAGTGATTGGGTTAGCATCGAGACAGATTTACCCTGTTAGAACTCTTGCAGGTTTGTTCCTCTCCACACCCTACACGGTACAACCTGCATCAGTGTCTTTCCACAGGCAAAGACCAGTACGTGAGAGGGACTCTTGAATTCACAGCTCACCTGCATCCAGCTGCAATATTTTGTAGTGAGATAGTTCTGATTTCACATAAGCAGCTAAAAAAGCCATTTATCTGGGAGGATGGGGTTGACTACATTTAACATCTGTAACTCTACCCTCAGGCTACATAACTTATTCTTAAAGAATCCTACCTCTAGAAAACAGCTTTACAATGGCTTCTTAAATCTCAAATATCCCAAGAGCAGACTACAAGCAAATACCTTGCTTTGATGCTTCAATGCACAAACTACAGAGGAAGAAGACTCCGCTGATTACAATGCCCTGCCTTCCTCAGGGTAAATCCCTTCCAGAATCCAGCTTTACTCAAACTGATCAACAGCCTCTCTCACCCAGTTTTATCTGCATTTGGATTCAGTTTCAACTAGAATACAACGATGCTCATGCAAGTTTTACCGAGAGCTGAGACTCCCATCAAAAGAGACTCCAAGATAGCAACAAGTATGAATCTGCAATGGGCATTTCTATTTTGCACTGCAAATAAAACATCCTATCAGGCCTTTCCAATATAAACATGATTTAGTGCATTGTAACAGGCATTACTGCACATTTTTTCAAAGGAAAAGCATGAAGAAAATAAAACTGTGTTTCTTACTTTCGACGGAACATTTCTGCAAATATGCAGCCAACACTCCAAAGATCAACTGCTGTTGCATAACTGGACTGAAGTAAGACTTCAGGAGCTCTATACCACAAAGTAACAACCTGTAAAACAAAAAGAACAGAAAAGAGAGTGCTTAGCTGCAGAATTACAACCTCCTAAGTGCTGTATGTACAGCTTCCATTTAGTTTAATCTAAATTGTAAAACTCACATATTAGGGCTGAGTGGTTTAGCTAGCACATAGAAAAGTGTCCTGTATGGAAAATCTCAGTATCCATAGCTGCACATGATGACTCAGGATGTGAGACCATTTCTTGTCAAGAACATTGCAATTCAGGGTACAAGAAAACTGGTTTCAGAATACAGCATTGGTGTGACAATCATAGTACCACACCACACTACCAGCAACCCTCTGAAGCTTTTGCAGCTTACAGATCCCAGATACTTTCCAGTGGAGATTTGGACTCTCCACAGGGCAAATGTCAGTCAAATGAACAAGGCCTTGTTTTCCTAACTTTTGGGATGTAAATGTAGTCACCAGAGCCAAAACAGAAACAAACAAGCCAAGGAATACTGTGGGTTTACCCATAGGACAAATCAGTACCTGCAGCATGTCTGTTCTCAGCCCCTTATGGTTCATGTACTATTTTCTATAAAAGAGATTGGGTTAACTCAAGTGCATGGGCAATTAGGGTAAACATGTTTGCCCTGCCTCCAAAGTTGTCTCTGAAGAATCTGAAGAAATTATAACTTTTTATTTCATCAGTTGGATACAGAGTAATCCAAACCCTTCTCAAAGCCGTCCCTTACAAAAGGCATCAATGTTGTCTACTGTGGTTTCCTTGCACACAAAGGAACCCTAAACTGTCAGTTTTTAACTAAGCATCACAGCACAAGGATTCCTGGCAGATTCTTGACCTTTACAGTTGTGTGACTGTCTCTGCCCATGTGCTGCTGGTCAGACCAGCAGTAACTTCTCTCACACCATGTGTTCAAATGACACACTCTTTCCCATGGACATATGCCACGTAAAGCGCCTGCTTTTAGTCTGTTCTTGTCCTGGTGGTTATGTCACAGCACATTGTAGGGACTCAGTGGGAATTTTACTGGCACTGCTCCATTAATGTACTTTGATAAGTCCTACTCACTGGACCCACAACGGAGATGAGACAGCTTATATTTATCCTTTTGTATCCCACAAGTAGACCAAATACAGATGAGGCTGACTGTCTCTTCAGGATATTTGCCCAAGAATACAAGGAGCTTCTGCAGAGTCCTGTGTGTGCTACTATCTTGCTAGAATATAATCTCATAGCCACAGGAGTAGTCCACTCCTGAACAGTTATAATCCAGCCGTAACAACATATGACCATCAGCTAAGTGCCAGTATTTTCTTACTCTGTGCTATAATTTGAACCTCTGACTATTAATATGGGGGCTGGCAGGGTCTCTACAATTACTGGCTTTTTTCTTCAACAAATACAAAGATGGGAGATGTAACATTCAGGAGGAGCATGAACCAAACCAAAACTCTGAAAAAAAAAAAGGACAGAAACAAAGAAAATTATAAGAATGAAAATAAATTTTAAAATTATGTTAACTAGGATAAGTGAGTTCTGAATTTCAAGACCAACACAAAGAAATGTGTAAGAATAGTGTTTTTTTTTTAATGATAACAATGTAATTGTCTTCTAAAGAAAAATAACAATGGAAGTAATCATCCAAATTTGCTGCTCAAAGCCAGATAAAACAAAAGCAAATACAACATTTATTACAATAATTATATGCCCTGACAGCCTTTGGAATCACTGAATGGCTACTGAAGAGAGGTTAATGAGTATCTGCAAGAGTGGTCATATTTGCTAACAGTTCTTTTAAACACTTTGATGTTAATTTATAAAATTTATCTATGAAACAGTTCAATAACACAGTACAAAGTACTGCACTGGCAAGCTACACTTCCAGATACCCATCCACAGAAAGAGATTCCTGTGTGGAAGTTCAGCTTTACTTAGCCCCATTTGTCTTGTTCCTGATTTGCTACTATATCAGTGATACTTTCATGAAACACTTAAGAAAAATAAAAAACAGAGAAGTGTCTTCAGAGATTCACTCCAAGGAAAGAAGACAAATATAACTGGAGGTCAGGGATTCTCTCTGGAGATGCCTTGTCTGAATCAGATATAATTCCTCCTAAAACACATTCTTTTTCCTAATGCAGACATAGCTCTCAAACTGAACTATGCTTTTATTCTTGCAGTACATTTGTGGAAAAGCTTACTGAAGTAATACTGCTTTGAGAAATTAGATATAACAATTTCAACCCGTTACTGTTTTTGAATGGCTGGGTGCAGTGTCAGGAGGAAGAGCTGTGTGATCTCTGATCTGATCTTTGGAATACCACCAAGCCCCATGATTCCTGGTTTGAGGTCCACATTGCTCTTCTCACACAGAGCATAAGGATGATTTATTTTCCCCAGTCCCACAAGTCCTGCAACATTAGAGCTATGCACTCTCCTAGGCAAAGAACTGGGGCATGGATGGTTGTGGACCATATGCCCCAAACTGAAGTCCCTCCCAGGCGAGTGTGGCACAGGACAGCTGCTCCTTTCCTAAGAGCTGCATCATGGCTCTTGCCCGTGTCCGTGTGTGCTCAGGGGAACAGTGCTGTTTTCAGACAGCTGCGGAAGCGTGCAGCACGGTGGCTGCTTCCCCCATGTGACCCCTTACTGGCAAGTTCCCCAAGCATCTGCACCCTGCTACACTCAATGCATGCACAGGGGACTGGGAGATTTTGCTTGAGTAATTTGGAAAGTTAAACCTGTAAAATAGAAGATTTCCAAAAGACTAACAGTTAAATTTCAGCTAACGCCTGACTGCATTATCAACAGAGAGGAAGGAATCTGTGTTGAGCTGTTTTGATATGCCCTCTCAATAATGTGTCATTGTAGAAGTGATCAAACAACCTTTATGGTTTGTAACATGCAAGTCCGTGTTTCAAAATGTGAACCTGGAAGAAATCAAAATGTACTCAATGTCTCTTTGGACACAAGAAATGCCACAGATGACTCCTTTTGTGGGCAGGGTCTTCTCCTGAAAAGCACTGGATGATGCACATGATGCTGTGGTTTTGACAGTTTCACACTCTCTCTTACCATAGAAACCAAGAAAATATTTGTGGACATTCCATTAACATTTGCAGAGGAGTAGAAATGAAAATTATTCTGAACACAGGATATGGTGAGGCTGAACAAGCAGGTCATCACTTCCTCTTTAGCCCAGTTCTGAGCGAAAAAGTGCTTTCCTTAGGTAAGCCACGCTACCAGGGAGGCAAGGTCTCCCTGAGCGACAGTGCACTTAACAGAGTTGCTTGATTAAGTCCCATTTTCAGGAAGAAAAAAGCATCACTATCTATATCAGTACATCTCAGATTCTTTCTCTTCTGAAAATGTGGCACACACAAAATGTGGCACATGGTGATTGGTCTGTAGAAAAAGGACTCATGCTCATGTTCTGATGGAAATCCTAAATTCTGCAAGACTCCAAAGTACTTTGGAGGCTATTGACTTTAGTGACCATGTTGCATTTTAGTCCTCTCACTAAAGAAATTTCTGTCCACTGCCTTTTCCTTGCTTCTCCTTGCCCTGGCTGGTCTCTTCAGCTCCTCTCTTACACCAGCCAAGTTTCTACCACATGTCCAATGACCTCCTGGCTTCTTTCCCCTGCCTGCCTCTGCCTTCCTGTCACACACACCAGTGGTCCCCTGACAGCATCACCAAACATGCCTAATTCCCTGCTGCTCCTGCTAACACCTGGGTGGACACAGCCTGCTGCCCTGCTGCATCCCACAGGCTCTGCCTTCCCTCACATTCCTCATCAGCTCCTTTGCATCTCCAAGCTCCCTCAAATTTCACACCCTGTCATCTCTTCTTCCAACAGCCTCCAAATGCTCCTTGGCAAAATTAGGTCATCTTCCCCCTTTCCCACTCTGCCTGTTCTGAAGATACCCTGTAATATTTGCATTTAATGGATCAAGCTACATATGAAAAGACTGAGAATATTCACACAGTGGGAAGAAGTAGTTATGTCTTACCTAAAGAGGTAACCAAGTTCCTTTTCCAGTGCACATTCTATGTTTCTACTACCCAGATAAGAGTGGATGGTACCAGGTGAGAAGGGCATCAGTAGCTGCAGATCACTACTTCTAACTATTTAAAAGATAATAGATTTAGGCAGCACATCATGAAAATAAATGACGTGTGTATGTGAGAGGCAGTAGAAAGGCAAAGAACATCTGCAAAAGTCTGCTGAGGCTGTCTGACTCTCTGAAGAAGGAAATGTGCTCAGTGAGAAGCAAGGACAGAGCTGCATTCCGAGTCAGATGAAGAAAGGGAACTTCATTTTGAAATAAAGCTTTCTGCCTTACTACACTTGACAGATGTGGCTACTGGGCACCACCTATCCCAAGGAGTTTTAATTCTTCATGTTACCTGTTTCTAATGAGAAACCAAACTAGTGGGAAGCATCTATTCACTAGAAAAGAAGATCTAGGCATTGTGTCAGTCTCATATAATTTCCATTTACTTTACAGAACAGATTTTCATTTTGTGTAATTGCTTAATTTAAATAGATCTGCACAATATACAGTCTTTTCCAAATATAGTTACTGTCTGAATAGCATTCAGTTCAAAAAAGACAGAGACAAACAGTGGTTTAGGGTTGAGGTTGAGTAACACAGACACAAAAGACTACATTTCAGTTTGCCACAGACTTTAAGTACAGACCAATACCCAGTTGCACAGATACATGAACAAAGCAGGGATCAGACTGTCACACAGCAGCTATGTCTGTTCTAGGAAATTAAATGGGACAGGAAATGTTCCTTTGGCACTGAGACCAATAAGTACAGAGTGGCCTATGTCCATATTATTAAATTCTCAGCCTCCCAAAAAAGGTGACCGCATGCAAACTGCTTATTGGGAATGGTCTTTGGTTCATGCTTAACTGCCAGTGCCTAGGAACTGTCTGGGGAAGGGCTGGTTGGAATAACTCATGCCAGGAACCATTCTAATAATTTAACAGTATAGACAATTGAGCTCCAGT